TCTTAAAATGCCTCTCCACTTTCCAAAAAGCACCCATTCAAGAAATCCCTGATACTCCTTGCTACCAAAACCCAAAACAAACAAAAGCTTATCATTTTCCAGTGAATTAAAAAATTTATATTTTAAACTTTGCATGTAACAGTGTATAAGATATGTTTTTCTTTTCTTTTTTTTTTTTTTGAGTTGGAGTCTCACTCTGTCGCCCAGACTGGAGTGCAGTGGCCGCTCCCGGCCACCGCAGCCTCGACCTGCTGGGCTCCGGCGATCCTTCTGCCTCAGCCTTCCGAGTAGCCGGAATTACAGGCAAGCACTACCACGCCCGGCTGATTTTTTGATTTATTGTAGAGATGAGGTCTTGCTGCCCAGGCGGGTCTTGAACCCGCGGGCTCAGGTAATTCGCTCACCTCAGCCTCCCAAAGGCACGGGATTACAGGCTGAGCCACTGAGCCCAGCTAGATATGTTTTTCAAGGGTATGTTGATTCATTGTAGGGGAGTGTACATGAACTGAACCTAATTTTTATTTATGGACATAACCCTGAAATTATTGTTTATAATAAGTTATTTTTTTTACACAAAAGAACTTTCAGAACTCATGGTCATATTTTCCTTTAAGCAATATCCCAACACTAACATTCTTTAGGGATATAACTGGGTCAATGATGTAAACATTTTTTTAAAAAGCAGATGATATTTTTATCTGAACATTTTATGTAGGAGATGGTTAAATTAGCAATCTCTGAAGAGAAATGTTCGCGTTTTGGCTTCATTTGACCATGTCTCTGCTCGATGCCACCAGCATGAATGAATTGGTGATCTATGTCTACATACTCTTAAATAGCAGTAATCTCAAATGTGATGTATGCCAGGCTTCCCAACAAAGCATTGCCATGCTGCAATGGGGACACAGGAACCAAAGGAATTTGAAGACATGAGGCCAATAGATGAATGGATTCTTCTTACTGAAAGTGAGCAATTTTTCCTAACTTCACGGATTCATAATGTAATTCTTTATTTTATTAGTTATTTTTTTTCCAGCCAAGGAAGCTGACTTTTATTTATTCAGCAATCATTTATTACCTATCTATTATGTGCATAGTCTATACTCAGTGCTGCACGGAACAGTCATCAACCTAAAAGTTAAACTTCATGTGTTAACTCACTGTCTCTGCTTCCATGAAGCCTTCTCCCCTTGGTCCAGATCCCTTCTTTTATTGTGCTCATTATGATCATGAACACAGGAGATCTTTTTAGGTGATCCCTACATCTTTACGTTTCTTATTTAAGTCCCAACTTGTCCAGTTAAGAGCAGAAGAGAAAAGGATTGATATGTGGTAACAGCATTAAGGAGTTGGGGAGAAGGGAAAGGGGAAGGAGGAAGAACAAGAATAAGACCATAGAGCCCAGTGGCAGTGGAGGTAATGCCCAGGCAGAGGTCACTGGTAGCAGGCATAGTATGGTGCACACAGTAGTTGTCCAGTGAGTATTAGTGAAACTGAACTTGAAACAAGTCTTGAAAGAGCCACCCCACCCCCACTGCAGCCCTGATCCACTCACTCTCCCTGGTCTGACAGTCTTGCACAAATATTTTAATAGCAATGCTCTGCAGTTAGAGATTAAAGGCCTTATACAAGTGCTGTAAAAAAAAAAAGTAAGCATTGTTTTGGATGTAGATTAGACGGGACGCTCAGAAGGGGAGACGAGGGCAATCCCTGTGATTAGTCCTATGATCTTCACGAGAACCCCTCTTCCCTCTCCCACGTAGCTGTGCACACTCTGTTAATGTTCTTGTTCTTTTCTGCATCTCCTCCCCAATTTGTAAGAAGGCACGTTCTCACTGTTTGCTTACACTACCTCCAGCATTGCTTATCATCCTATTTTAGTTCAAAGCCTCCCAAGAGAGTGATCATACAAATAAAAACTGTTTTTGAAATCTATATCTACATTGCCATGGCTCTACAGATATCGAGACTCAAATATATGTAAACATCAGTATATTTAGGCATAGTTGCACCTGTACAAGATAAGTTACACATCATTAAGTGTTAGGAACATGTCAAAAATGTCTTCTCTGCCATACACATAATATTGTTAGCTAAACAATATAATTCTTTCTAATCAAATAACCACTGTGAAATACCTGATTCACTTTGCACCCAACAGCTGGGGATGTAGCTTGTGTTCCCAGCCAGAGCTGAACTTAAGCACAATAAGAAGGGCAGAAACAGCTGCAAACTCTTGGGAGAAAAAAATCTGCAAAGCAACTTTGCCATTAGGCTTCAGGGTAGGAAGGAAGTAAAATCATTTTTCTGTTCCTTTTCATGTATGGCAGCTGTCTTTGGGAAAAAAATTATGTCCATCCTATTTTGTAACAGAAACTTCATAGTATTTATTAAAACATGAGTTGTAGAAACATAGGCCTGGCCACAGATTTAGCACGTTAGTGCAGTCAAAACATTTCCAGAACTTGGGAGGAAGTTACTGCTCTGACAGATTAAACTGGAAGGCCCCTGCTCCTGACTCCTCCCTTTCCATTATTTGCTGTAAATAAACTGGATTTCAGTGATGTTGCTTGATCTTTCATCTGCTTTAGGCTTATTTATATAAAATGGAATGGAATGGAATTCTCATGGGTATTTTTCAGAGAAACAGATCCTCTGTGGTTCCCAGTAGCCCTTTTTCTGTATGTACTATTGTCATCAGGTAACTGTTTATGTCCCCTACTAAAATTTTAGTTCTTAAGAGTGGGTTCTGTGTCACTGTTTCCTTTGTTCATTCACAACCCTAGTGAAGCAAAGTTAGTCAGCGCCCGATACTTATTTAATGAATTAAATACTGATTTAATGAATTACCACTGATTAAAGACAGTGGTAATTTAAAAAGAATCAGTGCCACCAGTGCTTTTCATAAAATATGTATTTTTACCTTTTGTTTTGGATGCACAGTTAATGGGCAAAATGTAGTTTCGTTTATAAAACTACTCGACACAATAATAAAACATTTGTTACAGCATTTCTGCTATAATGCAACTGATGCATGACATATCTCTTGAGTGGTGGACTCTGTCACATGCAGACTCAGTCAATAAAGCAACCCATTTTATGTAAAATTTTATTAGAATTTGAAAATAGGCCAGGAAACTGATGATGTTAACAAAGTGTCAAGCCTAAAGTGATTATAGAAAGCTTAATAGTATGAAACCGAACAGGTGAGGTAACAGACAATTACAAAAAAATTTTTTTTTAAAGCAGAAATAAAGATTAAGGAGAGCAAAGCAATATAATAACACATTAGGAAATCAACAGATGCTAGCTTCTCTCTCTTTCAAATTTTTTGGAATACTATCAATGTAAATGAAAAACACATAAAAACAAAATAATACACATTTTTCCAAGGATAATAGATACAACCATATTTCAAATACGTTAGCATGTGTGTCTCTGTAGGAGAGGGCTAGGTATCCTTCCTTCAGACTTTGAGAATTTAAGGCTTGAATTGATTGGTCAAGATGGATGAGGTGGTAAGTAAGCACACTGGGAAGAGGAGGAAGGGAGAAGGGGAGAAAAGATGTAGTTAACTATGAAGGAATAGGGAGGAGACTAGTATGGAAACAACTGGATAACAGAATCTATATGATTGCTTTGGAACTAATAAGGTTTTATTTATGTGGTTTGTATTTTGTTTTTGAAGTCAGAGTCAGGCTAGAGTGCACTCTCTCCCTCAACTTGCTGGGCTTGGGTGATTCTTCCACCTCAGTTTCCCAAGTAGCTGGGACTACAGGGACATGCCACCATGCCTGACTAATTTTTTTTTTTTTTTGTAGAGTTTAGGTCTCACTATGTTGCCCAGGCTGGTCTTGAACTCCTGGTTTAAAGCAAACCTGCTGTTTCAGCCTCCCAGAATGCTGGGATTACAGGCACAAGCCACCATGGCTAGCCTGGTTTTCAACTTTGAAGAAATTTCACCATGCTCCCTAATACCAGAAAAACATGATTTACAGTTCTTAAAATATGGCCATGACCAATATCCAGACTGATTAAAGACAGTGGTAATTTTAGAAAATATTTACTGTAAAATAATACAGATATATGATGCACAGATGAGCAAGTCATAAGAAAGCCTCATCATCTTCACTTGGTTTACTAGAAGGCGTCTGATGAGGATGCTAACTATATGATATAAGCATCTCCCTTTAAAAGAAATACCTAATATTCACAGAAATCCAACATTTCCATAGATATTGCTGTCATTCTTCACTAATCAAGAATCTACTAATGAACTAAGGTTGAAAGCACCAATAACTATTAAAGCAATAAAATAAGACCAACACAAGAGCGTTTTAATATCTGCCAAGTGCTATGATTCTCGTATCTAGGAAGCAGAATTACTTCTATCAGACCTGAAATGTGAACTTTTATTGTATGAAAGTTGTTGCTATTCATTAAAAGTATTTCTTAATACAATCTGGATTTTAAAAAATATTTGAACTTCTTTGTGTCTGACCCCATCATTTTGCAGAATCAGGAGAGTCTCAGTTACAATGGGATTTTGATGGTAATGTCCCTTCCTAAGTCCTGCCACTATTTCTCAATGATGTGAATGTTTTTTCTCATAGAGACACACAGTTCACACAATAGCACTCCTTTTATTTGTAGCTTCCCTTGAGATTAAAAAAAAAAAATCGTCTGGAAATGCTTTAATTGTTTCATTTTATTTTCCAGTCACGTGATAGAAATTATGAATGGAAAAAACAAAACAAAACAACCTAAACCATTCCAGACAAGAAAATTAAAGCAACCACATGCAAACTGAAAGCTTCAAGAACTTAAAAAATAGGTCATACATTTCATAGAAAGTGGCCCAGCCTTTATTGTTTGTATCTCTAGTTTCTACTATGATTTGCACTTTACAGTATTTGCAAATACCTTACTGTAAAAACAAAAACAAATTAATTGCATAATGCCAGATAAAGCAGACACAGCTATACTCAGAAAACACTTACCTGCATGAAGCGACCCTCTGATGTCCCAAGGTTAGCAATGGTGAGATCTCCTTTAACAAAGGTGGATATAGATGTTAAGAGGACTTTATTGAATTGACCCGTGAATAAGTCAACACGTGGCAAAGCTGTGGTAAACTCTGTCCGATATTCATCACTGCGTACTTCACAGCCTGATGAATTTCTCAGAAGGGTCTGGAATAAAATATCGTCATAGTGTTAATGTGAGTCCAGATGTGAACAAACTGGTAAGAAACTTTTAAATGTGTCTTTTCAGTACTTGGAGAGGAGCAAGGATAACCATGCAGCTAGACAAATAGCCACAAATAGGCATAAATGTTTCCAGTGATTCAATGCTCCTGTTTCACGAGGCACTATTATGTATACATAGACTCTAATATTGGGAACAAACCTTACGATCACAATTTGCACCATGGATCAATATGTGTATACATAAAGATGGAACTTAGCTGGTGCTATTATAAGAAAAACAAAACCTTTAAATGTCTCGACCCTTGACATAAAGGTCATGCTCTAGCAGGCAAATCTGGTGAACTTCACCTGGGATAATAATAAATGTTGAAGTCATACCATGACATTATGTTTTCAGGTGTGTATCTCTCTGCAACTGTGTGCAGAGAGGTGCTGGGGAATGGCGGTTAACAGATAATTCATGGAGAAGCAGCAGGGCATAGACCCAAGAGCCTGCATCAAATCCTGGTCTCGAATTGCTTAGTTGTTTTATGTGATTCCTATGATCTTTCTGTATTTGGAAACTCATGTAATCTCTGTGTTTCAATCCCCCACGCCTGTATAATAGAAAAGTAAGTACAGAAATAGTATTTACCTTATAGAGTTGCTGTAAAATGATATAAATCTTTCACAATGGAACCCAGCACAAGTTACACCTCTTTTAGAATTTGTCTAGCAGGTTTGCAGTTTTCACTGGAAGTGGAAGCGTTTTAGAGAGGGACATGATCAGATTTGTGTTTTAAGAAGAAAATCCTGCTGCAGTGTGGAGAGCAGATCACCTGACAAGGGTGGCCGTGGATGTGGTGGGCCTAGTTAGGAAACCACTGTAGTTATCCAGGAAGGGATGGGTGGCTAGTATGAAGACTGTGGCAGGAGGGATAGAGAAGACTGGATAGAGAAGACCGGAGGAATTTAGAAAGTGAAATTGAAGGGAATTGGGGATGGACAAAAATAAAGAACCCAACACACATAGAGAACATTGCGGAGGTATTTGCCATCATTGTGGTAAAAGGCTCTAGAAATGCAAGAGTAGTTATATTGAATGTCTCAACATAGCTCATTCAAAGACAATTACCATTCAATCTGATAACTGTCCTTCAGGTTCAAATTCCAATGAAAAGAATTTTTAAAATATTGTTGAGTAATATATGACAATTAAGCACTGTGGATCCTTCCCACCTGCTTGACACTTCAGTCTTCTGGTTTTTCCATCTACTTCTCAGACCACAGCATTTATGTCTCCTTTGTAGGACCATCCATGCCCGGCTATCAATGTTAGGGTTTTTCTCAAGGCTTCCTCTAAGAGGGCTACTTTCACTCACTCTTCACACTCCCCTGCCGATCTCAGTTTCTCCTGTGATATCTACAATTTTTTTTTGAGAGACAGGATCTTGCTCTGTTGCCCAGGCTGGAGTGCAGTGTTATGATCATGCTAACTGCAGTCTCAAACTCCTGGGCTCAGGTGATTATTCTGCCTCAGCCTCCCAAGTAACTGGGACTAGAGGCACATGTCACCATGCCTGGTTAATTTTTTTTTTCTTTTTTTGAGTCAACTTTTCATTCTGTTGCCCAGGCTGGAATGTAGTACCATGATCACAGCTCATTGCAGCCTCAACCTTCCGGGCTCAAGCAATCTTCTGCCTCATCCTCCTAAGCAGCTGGGACTATAGGCCACTACACCTGGCTGTTTTTCATTTTTATTTTTTGTGGAGATGAGGTCTTGTTGGTCCTAAACTCCTTTTGGCTCAAGTAATCCTCCTGCCTTGGCCTTCTAAAGTGCTGAGATTACAGGTATGAGCCACCATGCTCTGCCACACCTGCCTAATTTTTAATTTTTTTTTTTGGTAGAAACAAGGTCTTGAGATGTCTGCTATTTAGGTGACACACACATTTCCATCTCCATTCACATGTCTCAGAGACCTCAGACTCAACAGGCCCACAGCTGAAACCACAATCTTTCCCTACCTGATCTTAGGATACTACATACCCCAGTGAATGGCTCTACCATTTCTTCAGGGGCACAAGTCAGAAATCTAAGTGTCACCCCTGATTCCTTCCTCTCCCTTAGTTCTTATATGCAGTCCATCACCAATCCCCTTCAATTTCACTTTCTAAATTCCTCCTGGGCCCATCCAGTCTTCTCCATCCCTTCTGCCACAATCTTCATCCTAGCCTCCCATCCCTCCCTGGTGACTACAGTGGCTTCCTAACTAGGCCCACCACATCCACTGCCACCCTTGTCGGGTGATCTGTTCTCCACACTGCAGCAGGATTTTCTTCTTAAAACACAAATCTGATCATGTTCCTCTCCAAAACACTTACTGTTTCTCTGCTGCCCTTAGGATAAAAGACAACATTTTAAATATGGCCTATTGGACTTCACAGCATCCGGCCCCTGCCTGACTTCTCCAGATCGGTGCTTGCTGCTCCAGTGAGCCATCCTGCTTTCAGTTCTCCAAACGAACCATGTATCCTCCTATGAAGGGCCTTTGCACATGCTGTTTCCTCTGTTGAAATAGTCCCTCCATGTCCATTCACCACGTTAACACCTTCAGGCCCACCTTAGCTAATCGTCATTCCCTCAGGAGGCCCGCCCTAATCTCAATAGCTTGGTGAAATGCTTCTAGTATAGATTCTCATGATACTTTCCCCCTGTGCACCACAGCACAGCATAGCTGTAACACAGTTACAGCTGCAACTTAGTATTTGCTTGTGTGATTATAAGGAAATGTGAAACTTCTCCTAAGTGGCTCTCTGCCATCAGGAACCCTGCTCACTCACCACTGTATTTGCTAGTAGTGGGTTCAATATCACACACAGTAGATATTTAATAAATATTAATTGAACAAGTGAATCAGTTATGGGTAGTAGGGAGATAAGAAACAGTATTATTAAAGCTATTTTTTTTTCCAGGAATAGGGATAGTTAAGACTTTATAAGGGGCAAATAGGAGTGTTTTGCTCCTGATTGTCCTGATGAGACAAAGGGGAATTGGTAAATCTGGGACAGATGGAGGGGACAGGAGGATGTATTAAAGAAAATGAAGTTTGCTTTTGTAGAAAAAGAGAAGATTTCATTCTTACATATCTTTGTATGTGGCTGTAAGTCTAAGAAAATGATTGGAAAGCTAGAAATTCTTTATCATTCTCCTATTATATTAAAATAGTCATAAAGCCATATGATATGGAAAGTCAATTTCCAGTTGAAGAACAAATAAGTCATCTTTCTGTACTGTGACCTGACTCCTTAAGGTTAAAGGTCTGTCACATGGAATGCAAAGTGCTTACATTTATTGACTTTTATGGTTAAAGACCACATAAAATACTTTATTTCATATATCAAAAACCACTTATTCATTTTAAATGGTGATGAATTAGCAAACTGAGAGTCTTAGAGATTCTAAACTTATTGACACTTGTAATTAACAAAATGTTTGAGCTCTGGACATTTGTTTTGATATAAACCATGCTATGGTTTAATTAGAAGTGTTTCTTCACTAAAGTGCTATAGATTACTCTGAGGAGTAGCAGATAACTGAGATGTGCTAGCAATTCAATAGCAACCGATTAATTGATAATTAAGTTTCTATTGACGACCAATCACCCATTGGGCAAAGATAGCCAGAGCTAAGGGATGTTGCTTAAAGGAGCAAAGACCCATTTTAAATCTAAGGCCATCTGGAGTATTCCATCATAGAGTGGCTGCTCTTCAGGTCGGGCTTTTGTGGTGGTTTTATTCTTCTCTTCTTGGTATTTACTCTTCTTCTCTCCTGGGAATGTGAAAGTCTCAAACTTGACCTGGGTACTGCTGGAGACAGGACAGAGTCATTGGGCCAGGAAACCAATTTGCTGTGTGTGGAGTGGAGTCTTTGAATATAAACTGTTAGTAGCCTTCTGTCACCAAAAGGGCAGGAATTATCTTATCATCTTTTATCCCCAGTGTCCTGTATCATCCCTAGCACACAGCAGGCATTTAATAATAGCCTGCTGGAAAATGAATGCCTCTGCAAAGTCACCAGAGATAAGGCCCATCTGCCCACGAGGATTGCTTTGGGGTCTTGCCTTGCTGAGGGACAAGCAGAGGAAAGCAGGGAAGAGGACTTCTAAGCATGTCCTCAGAGAGTCTGCAAACCTGCAGAAATTCACTGATATTTTTTAAATGGAGGGAGACTGAGACAACTGGAACCTTAGCCCCTATGTGCCTGTTTCCACACTTATAAGGTATAATAGCATAGAACTAACTCTGCTTCAGAGTTAATGCAATATTTATACTGTACACTTCAAGGCTTCTCCTTCAGGAAGTAGTTAGGTCTCTAAATAGTGCCCCTTCTGGGACCCAAGGACGAAGTTATGTCTCTATTGCACCCCAAATAAAATTCATAAGTATTGAGACATTGCACAATGTTGGAATAGAATCTATAGAACTTCTTGATCTTGTGCAATTTGGAGCCAAAAACCAAACTCGTCAGGCTCAAGTGTCATTCAAATTTCATATGCCAGGGGACCCAACCTTTTTCTTTTTTTCCGTTTTCCCCATGGCTGAGCTCTGTAAGGGAGGTGTGATGACCCTAGCTTCCAGGAAAAAGTAACATTTCAGCATTCACTTCAAGAGAGGTGTTCCTTGTCTCTTCCTGCTGAGAATCCTAATGAATTCAGTGACTCGGGGGCAGCAGGAACCTGGTAGACAGAGTTGTAGCGTTTTAACTCATAGTGAGCCTTGGTTTAAGCTCTCAGCATCGCAGAGGTAAAGTGCTGTGCAAAGAGGACTAGATCTCAGTCTGATTCGTCATGTCCCTTAATAAGCAAGTGTATTTGCTGCTCATTTGTGCGGGGAGGATGGGGTTGCTTCATCTCAGTGCTTTACACACAGTTCCTGGGTGTGGTGTCTAGGATGGGACTGGAGCCCAGCTGGAAGAACAACTCTATATCTGCTGCCAACAGTTT